AAGTCACATGGCCCAAGGGTGAGGATCAACATGTGCCTCAGCTCCTAGCAGGTCACAGGCACAGCCATGAGGCTGCCAACCACAGAGAAAGTGCTGCCAGAACTACCAAGTGGCTACCAAGGCACAGGGCAGAGCCTGCATCTTCCAGAAAGGCAAGGCCTGGCTTGAAACTTCTCAGCAATACTAGAAGCCAGGAAGGAACAGAGCAATACTTCCAAAGCCTGAAAGGACCATCTAGAGTCTACCTCATTGATCCCTTAACTGTGAAGGCAGAAAAGGCAGGTAGTCAGAGCTTACCTGCCATCCCAATTCAAACCAGGGAGTGAAATTAAATCAAGAAATAAGAGCCCTGGGGTAGATAGATCGGACAGAAGGGAACTGAGCCTGCAGCTGGCCCCCAGACACCTCTGGATGGTGCCAACATAGGGATGTCCCAATCCAGTGAAATTAAATCAAGAAATAAGAGCCCTGGGGTAGATAGATGGGACAGAAGGGAACTGAGCCTGCAGCTGGCCCCCAGACACCTCTGGATGGTGCCAACATAGGAATGTCCCAATCCTTACAAACAGCCCAGGCAAAGACAACTGACAAAGCTTGTGGAGGGGACAGAGGAAGCAGCCACAGGAGGGAAAAACACATAGATAATGGCTCACTGCGAGTAGCATTTAGTTGTACACATAAACACTAAAGGATCTCCTCAAAATTACACCTCATGGACATGGGGACAGAGCCAGGGAGAACATGACAGAGGGGAAAGAACACAAGTAAACCACCATCTTGTGAAGAAGAAAGTCACCACATGTTACATCTCCAACTGGAATATCAGGAAGCACGGATTCAGCCAAACAATGTCAAATTTGTATAAATCATGAGCCAGAAGTGAAGTGCCTGCTAAGTGCAGGAAAAGAGTGTCAGGGGAGCTGCCGAGCCCATCACCTTGCAGAGATTATCCAGCTTCAAACCTTGCAGAGACCCATCGGACTTCTTTCAATTATATATGCATGCTGAAAAAACAAAAATTCTGTGAGCAAGCCTTCTGCACCTCTGCCTAGGAGGCACCTGGAAGGAAAGATGGCATGAATTTCAGTTCACTCCCTTGGGTAGTTACTGAACTCTCTTATGCTAATGGCACTGCCTTGAGGATTGCATGGGCAGTGGAACTGAAGGCTCAAGGGCTGGGAACTTCAAGGAGGGAAAAACGTGCATGAAAAAGAACTCAAGTACATTGTTGAGCCTAAGATAGCTCTGTCTGTCTCTGTCTCTTTCTTCTCTGTCTCTTTGTGTCTCTGTCTTTCTCTTACACACACACACACACACACACACACACACACACACACACACCCTGCTGTGGTCTGGTGTAGAAGACGCAGATGCTGGGGAGGAAGGCTTCTCAGCCACAGCAGGTGGCAAAGGCTGGGAGGGCAGCAAAGGGTGCATGAGAAGGAAGGGCTCACAGAACTTGAGATCTGCTGGAGAATCAAGAAGGGCATTTCTAGAAAGCAGAATAATGGCAAAGGTGTTGTATAATTAGGAGTATGGAGAGTTTCGTTAAGCGGAGATGAAATTCTATTGTAACAGAACAGAGTTATTAATAAGGAGAAACAGATCAGAAATCAAAGGCATACCAGAACTAGATGGTAAGACCCTACTGCTGAAGACCCAACAAACTTTGGTTGCAGGACATAGAGAAACCAAGCTGGAACTGACTAGCTTTCCTAGTGCCAGAAGATGCTATGCAGGCTGCTGGGGGCGAAGAGACATCACTGGCATCCCTGAACTCTACATATCAACCTGCTAGGCAAGAGGTTCCCACTGGTACAACAGTGTTGTGAAGGCTATCCCAGTAAACTACTTTCTGAAAGGATCTGAGGCCTGCTCCACAGGAGGGAATTTATGTGAAGTATTGTAGACCTGGTCAAATGCCCATGGTGTGGAGAATCACAGGCCATAGGGAAGAAGCTACTACTGTTGTTTTGCTAAACAACATGTCAAGCTGCTTCTAAATATTTATGCTTATACCCAGCTACTAGTGCTACCCTGAACCGTGGCCAGAGAAGCTGCTCTCTGCAGTCATTAGCAGTTGATATAGGGACTCAAAACTGGCTCTAGTACTGAGACTAAGTGTATACTGAGTGCTCAGCCCTAAATGGGACATCTATACATCCCGACACCCAGCTCAGGTAACGTCTTGGAATGGGAGCAGAAAGAACGTAAGATTCGGAGAGGAATGCTATGGGCTGTTTGGGATATGACATGGCCACTGCACCCACAAACTCACTGTAGCTGTGGTCACCTGCACAAGAGCAAGTCAACATCCCAACAGCAGCACTAATTGTACACAGTGGGTTATTAACCAAAAGGAGAAGATACAAGTATGAAGGGGAACATGCTAGGGGTGCCTGTGGGGAGTTAAGGGATTGAGTTGAGGGTCCCTGGGGAGAGTAAGATGGGGAAGCTGGGGCATATATGATCAACATGCACTGTTTACATGTATGAAATTGCCAAAGAATTAAAAGATATTCTATTAAAAAGAAAAGAAATCACAGGCATCACTACAGACAGCCTATATTTTCTATGTCCTTGGATATTACCAATCAGAATTTTGGAAACATTTTCCATGCAGAGCAACTCGGACTTACAATCGCCGAGTTGCTTTGCATGGAAAATCAAAGCAACATCATTATTAATTGTTGCCTATCATCATTATTAATGATTGCCTTCAATCGAGCCTTTAAATCCTGGCTACAGTAATCAGCCATTTTCTCCACTGGATCAAGACCTCCCGGGGGTTCTGTGATTACTCCTATCATATTGTTTTTACTTCTGAGACTACTGCTTGATCTTCACTGCCACAAGACCTCTGCAATTTCTTTCTGGAATGCATCCCCTCCCATGCCTCCTGTTAACTCCTACACCTCCTTCATTCTTAATTTACATATTGATTTCTCAGAGAAAGACCATCCCTGATTGCTCTCACTTGGGAGTCCCAGTTATAAACACTGAGTATTCCTGGCCTTCATATCCGTTTGTGATTTAGCCTTATTTGGGTGGAAAGCCCACCTCTTTCTAATGGTTCTCAAAGCAGGGTCCCCCTCAGGAGGACTGCTGGATTGCTGAGAATCTAGGGCCAGCATAGGCTACAGGATGAAGTGAAACAAAACAAAACAGCTAAACACCAATCAACCAACAAAAAACAGGTTCCCAAACCACAAGAGCATTACAGGAGAAGCTATTAGAAATGCAAATTTTTCAGGCCACATCCCAGTCCTGCTCAGTCTAAACTAAGGCAATACTGATGCACATTCAAATCTGAGAACCACACTGTACTGGACTACTGGGTCTAGGTTCTGTGCCATCATGGCAAAGACTGTGTTCCTGTGCTCTGTGCTATCCCCTGGTACCAAGTTCAGCAAGGGATACTGGTAAAGACAGTGAGATTTCCTTATAGAGTTCCTGGTAAACACTTGGTATGGCTCCATAAATTCCCTACTTTACTGATTCCAAACGCTTGGGAATCAGTACTGAAACTTCAGTTCGAGGACCTGAGTTCCAGCCCCGTTTTAGGTCGTTGGAGTCTAGAATGATCTTGACTCTCCAAGTGTGGCATCTGCATAAGACATAGGTAACTGCTGAGCTCCCCAGTGCTTCATTTTTTCATTCATAAAATGGGATTAATCATAGTACCTGTTTCCTGGGGGTTGTTGAAATAATCAAATCTGGCAACGGGCACTAAGAATCATACTTGCACATCACAGGCACTCAACTAACTTAAGCCATTTTTACTATTTATTGTCACAATAATAATTACTCAACTGCAAGGGATATTCTTCTGGGTCTCAGCTCTTTTTTAATAAAGATCACACACAGGTCAGGTTCTTCCTTCTTGAAAAAGTATTCACATCTACCAAGCAACCCGGACCTGAAACTTCTCCTAGCAACCAGAAGCCCTTCTAGAGCTTCCTGGCTCCACCTCCTGGAACAGCTGGGCCATAGCAGACAGCTGCTTCCTACTCACCCCTCACTCCCATCAGTTAAACTCACTTTGCAGAGCACCTACTCACCTGGGAATCAGACCTTTAGCAGGTCTCACTGGATCATGTCTGTCTAGATAGCCAGGATTCAAATTCAACACACGCTGAGAGCTATTTTTAGCCCAATTTTGAGACTTGTTCAAATATTAATAGCAACAGTTCTAGTCCCATCGCACAGATAAAAACAACAAAAGGATAGCTTCTGACCCTCCGAAGAAGCTAAGGCCCCCTGCTCGGCTACTTTTACCCTCTCTCCAGGTAGTAGGTCTGCGAAGACCCAAAAGACAACTGCACACACCAAAGCCGAGGGCACGCCCAGTAGGGTCCCCTGTGCTCTGCCATCCTTCTGGGCATGGTCCTAGTCCCGCCGCACCCGGGGGAACACCTAGCAAGTGGGTGTCCGTGCGCCTGGACACAGGGGCGCGGCCACCCGAGATGGCAACACTTGGCTTCCCCAGAGTTAAATGCTGAGTAATTTTCCTGCGGAGCAAATAGAGCCAGGACCCTGCCAATGGCAAACAGTATTTTTATCCTACTTAACCAGAACGGCGGCGAGGCCCCGGTGTTCCCAAGGGTGTCCACCCCGCGCGGTACTCTCCGGATTGACTGTCCCGGAGCGGGACCGCTCCCTGGGCGACGTGTACAGCAGTCCAGCCGCCCAGGCCAGTGTGAGCCGGCGGGGACCGCCAAGGACCGCAGCGCCTAAGGTTCGGGACCGTAGTCGTGTCCGGGGCAAAGGCCCCTCCACCCGCCACCGGTTCCAGTGCCAGGCCTAGGCGGTAGCAGGCTGCAACCAAGCTGGCCAGCGACTCGACTGCAGAGGGTAGAGACATGGATGCAGGAAGCGCTGGCACCGTGCTGGCGGAGGGGACCCCGGCCCCGCACAGCCCGCTGCCCCGCCGCAGCGTCCCGGTCCCCGCCGCCGCGCGGGAATGAATGGGCTCCCCGCCCACAGCGGCGCGCACTCACAGGCGGCGTAGGCGAGCAGCGCGATGCCCAGCAGCAGCTTCATCCTCCTGCGGTTGACCGCAGACGCTAGGCGCAGCAGCGACTTGCTCACCATGCCCAGGAACCGCACCGGTCCAGGGCCTGCCGCGCCGGCCCGCCTGCTGCACAATGCGCGGCGGCCCCAGCCCCGCCCCCAGCCGCTTGCCCCGCCCCCGCGCGCCGGCTTCCTGCCGGCTGAACCCCTGCGCAGGCTTAGCCCCGCCCCGAGTCCCCGCCCCGCCCACAGCCCCGCCCCACCCTCCTCCTCTCCCCGCAGGCGCACAGTCCGCGTTCCCGCCCGGGTTTTCCTAGACTGTGGGCGGGCGGGTGCGCATGCGCACGGCGCAGTGTTTGCCCGCGCACGGTGTCGCGCCGCGGCTGACAGTTGACTCGGTGTCGCAAAGTGCCACCGCAGTCCGCGCGCTCCAGTTCCCTGAGCGGCGTCCCCGACCTGCCAGGAAAGGGACAACTGGCATAAGTCAATTTTGGCGAGTCTGCCGGGCTCTGTGAATGCCTCTCTCCAAAAGTTGCCCGGTTTTCCGGGTCTTTTGGCTTCCTAAGTTGGAACAGGAAAATAAATCCCCCAAGTCTGCCAGCAGCGAAATTGGCAACACTTCGGATCGGCTGCAGTTTCTTCTAAGGGCTTATTATGAAGGCGGTGCTAATCATAGGAATTTAGGAAAAACCACAAAGACAAGCGTGACACGTTTGCTCTCGTTAATTTAGGGGAAGGAAATATGAAAGCAAAAGAGACAGCGGCGTGAAAGAAGGAGCGGAGAGGCCAGAGAGGAATGGCGTGGTTACTTATCGAAGTACACAATATACATGTGTGAAAATGTCATGCAGCCAACTACTCTGTGCAATTATATGTCAGTAAAAATTCTAGGATTCTAAAAATTTAATGGGGAAGATGAAATTGAACTGTTTACCTAGAAGAAAACCCTGAACATTTCATCGTGTCTCGTAATCTTTTTGTTGTGTGATGCTGTACTGATTGCCTGAATTCATTGTTTTGTTTTTGTGATAGTGTCTCACTGTGTAGCTCAGACTGGCCTCAAACTCCCAAGTGTTGGAATTACAGGTGTGCACACCATCCTCCGGGTTGAATTAATTTCTTAGAATTAATTATTCATTATAATTAATAATTATTAATTATTGAATGCCTATCACAAGCAAACGGGTCAAAGGGTTCACAAGTATCACTCTTACCACTGGATCCACAAAGATTGGCTATAGGGGAGAAAGACAACTACAGACAGGCCTGTTATATCCACCTGTCAAATGGATTGGGAGCTAGCTGCTCAGCTTCAGCTGTCCAAGAAGGCTCAGCAGAGGGAGTAGTGTCACTGACCAATTGCAACTGAACTTTTTTGTTAAACTCAACCATTGAACACTACCCTTTGGCTTTGTTGAAATCCTCCAAAAAAATTAATGCTCCAACTGTCAATAAATCAAATGATATATCCCATCATTCAAATTATTGAGCACAAATGTCTTAATTTTATTAAAACTTTTCCCTTATGAACCCTCTCCATAACTAATTGAGAATCATTAAGAGACCCTTGGAGCAGTTTCCTTAAGGGCAGCCATCTATAGTATCCTGACTCAGGTCTTATAAGGCCAGCAATCTGCCTCTGAGGTACAAAAGGTTTGACATTAACACTCTCCCAGAGAGGTCATGCCCCAGAGCAGACATTTTTGGAGCAAATCTGTTAGTCTTACTTTCCTCCTTAGTTTCTGTGTGTGTGTGTGTGTGTGTGTGTGTGTGTCTGCTCCTACAGAGGCCCAAAGAGGTGTGTCACATCCCCTGGAACTGGAGTTACAGGTGGTTATGAGCTGCCCAGTGGTGGGAGCTGGGAACTGAACTCCCATCCTCTGAAAGAATAACAAGCATTCTTAACCACTTGTAGGGATAGCTTTTCTGGGAATCACAAGTTGACTTTGTGTTCAGTCTGTTTCCCTAGTGTGTACTCAGCTTGTTTAAATTTAACTAGCCTTTAAGAAAAAATAATCTTACTATGCTTTGGACTCCCAATATAATTAACTCATAAACTAAACTGAGCACATAGCTTTAGTCTTATACCATGCTCCCTATTGTGGCTCAATTATGCCCCTAACTCAGAACAATATGTGTGCTTGAGATGTGACATTAAAAACGATAACATTAAAAACAGCCTGTCCCTCACAATGTTGAAGGCAACAAGTGGGGATAGATTGATGACATCTGCAGCTTTGTGTGCTATACCGGGTCTGTCAGATCAGAAAAATAACTCCTTCCCTTGTAAACTCTGGTTAAAGATTCTTGAAGACAAAGTTCCTCATTCCTTTCCCATACTATGACTGATGTGCTGTTCAATAAATGGAAGAAGAGGCCCTTTGTTCAAAAGAATTTGGCAGTTCTGAGAGACATCAGAACGGATCAGGGTCACTATTGATTTAAATGCCACCACAAGGTAGTTTTCTTTAGTGTGACAAGGCCTCAACCACCGAGCCTTCTCCCCAGCCCCAATTCTATGAATTTTTGAAAAGAGCGGTGGAGTTCAGAGCTCCTGTAAGAGCAGAAATGGGAGAAATGATTTTGTTGAAATGTGCCCTACCAGAAAAATCAAACTGAGGCCTCTAGCAAATTTCAAATGCTTTAGGTTATAAGTGGGGGTGTTTACTTGATTGATTTGTATCAATTTGAATAGACCAAAAAGTTCTGCACAAACTTCCTTAAGCCCAGCCTTCCTCACTGAGTATTTTTCCTGCTGCCAGTTACTAAAGTTAATACTGCTGTCATTATTGCAACCTAGAAGCTTGTTGATAGTCCAAGACCCTGGCTTCCAATCAGAGTTAGGGAATAGTGGGCAATACTGTGTGCCCAGTGGATGTAAGAAGGCCTGAGGGAAGGGAGGTACAAAGAGGCCCCTGGAGCTTTTCTGCCAACTCTTGACCCTGGCAGCTCCTGTGCTCCCTGCCTGCCTCATCTCACCCACCCCATCCCATCTTTCCAGCAGGTTCTGTGCTCATGTCCCCACCACTACCTTGCTCTTCCTATCAACCCCTCATTCTTCTAATGGATCTGTTCACAATAGTTTAAGGCAATTACTAGGCAATGTTTTTGACTAAAAATGAATCATAATATGACTCCTTTCCTAAGTGTTAAAAATTAAGTAGGGGGGCTGGAGAGATGGCTCAGCAATTAAGAACACTTGCTATTCTTCCAGAGGACTCTGATTCAATTCCCAGCACCCACATGTCAGCTCACAATCATCTGTAACTCCAGTTCCAGGGTACCTGACACCCTCTTCTGGCCTCTGTGGGCATTACATGCATGTGGTGCACTTACATACATGCAGGTAAAGCACTCATACACATAAAATAATAAAATATTTTTTAAAAGCCTAAGTAGAGGAGGAGGGACTAATAGTTATTAAACTTCAAAAACCTACCAGAGACTAAAGGCCAGGTACCTTTACTGGTTACCACATTTAATTTTTGTAACAGCATTGTGGGATGAGGTTACTGTTTTGCTAGCTTTTTTTAAAGTAATTTTTTTGAAAAGTTTAAGTTAATAAATTGTATATATTTATGGTGTAAAAGATTTTGGGGGGCTGGAGAGATGGCTCAGTGGTAAAGAACACTGGTTGTTCTTGCAGAAGACCTGGGTTCGAATCCCAGCACCCACATGGCAGCTAACTGTCCATAACTCCAATACACGGCAAAGTGAAAAGGCTGCCCTTGAGAACAGGAAAGAGAAGAGAATGATGGCTGGAGAGACGGCTCAGCAGTTAACAACATTTACTGTTCTTCCATAGGACCCCGGTTCAATTCCCAGCACCTACATATGGCAGCTAACTGTCCATAACTCCAGTTCCAGGAGATCCAGCAGCCTCTTCTGATCTCCGCGGGCATTGTGCAACATGGGTGCACTTACCTACATGCAGGCAATACAGGCATACACATAAAATAAAAACAAAATTTTAAAAAATGTTTTGATGTGTATGCATTATAGCATGGCTAAGATGAGCAAGCATCTGTTACCGTATTTATTTTTTATGGTAAGAAAATGTAAAGTAACTTTCAAGTTTGTAAAATATTGTTAGTGACTATAGTCACAGTGCTATATAGTAGATCTCTTGAACTTACTCCTCCTGTCTCAGTGAAAGTTTATTTTATTTTGAGGCTTTAACTCATTATGTAGCCCCAGGCTGGCCTAGAATCTGTGATCCTGATGCCTCCACCTCCCAAATTCTGGATTATGAGCATGTATATACCTCCCCACCCTGCTAAATTTGGTGTCCTTTGGTCAGCATCTTTCCAAACCCCTACTCCTTTACCTTCTGTTACTGTGACAAAATTCTTCTATCAAAAGCAACTTCAAGGAGAAGAGAGTTGACTTTGGTTGCAGTTCCAGGGAGATGGAGTCCATCACGGTGGGAAAGGGAAGGGTGGCAACAGCCAGGGCAAACATGGTGGCAGGAGCGGGAAGCTAGCTGATCACATTTTCATCCTCAAACAGGAAGCAGAGAGCAAGAGTAGGAAGTGGGCGAGGCTATAAACCCACCAAGCCCATTATTTCCTCCAGCAAGGTTCCACTTCCTAAAGATACCATTATCCCCCCCAAATAGCACCATAAAGTGGCAACCAAGTGTTCAGACACATTAGCCTATGGGGGACATATTTCATTCAAACCACCACACCCTCCCATCCATGACGACCATCACCCTACTCTGATTTCAGCTTTTTTAGATTCCTAAGTATTTGCGATTCTGTGCCAGATTATATCTCTCAGTAAAATGTCCCATGCAGGCTGGATTTTGAATATTATTCCATTGTTAGAAAATATCATTGTATGTATTTCTCTATTCATGTGTCAGTGAGTTCTTGGGTTGCTTCTGCCTTTTTAGCTATTGCAATTTAATGCTGCTATAAATGTGTGTGTGCAAATAACACTTCAAGACCATGCTTTTTGTTCTCTAAGGTGTATACCTAGAAGTGGAATTACAGGATCATGCGGCGATTCTATGTTTAATTTTCGTGAGGACTCTCCGTGCTATTTTCTTTCATTGCTATACTAATTTATGTTGCTGTTGCCTTGAATGGAAGGGGAAACTGAAGCTCTAAGCATTTAATAAGAGTCACAGTGGGAGGCATAGGGCCGGGCTTCAAATTACAACTTTC